ACATAGATGTTCACTCCTGAGCACTGAATAATTTCCATCTCTTTACTTCTCATTAAAAGCAAATCAGAGGAGGGAAAACAGTGAGAAATTTCTCTGTCTCTGTTTCTGCCATCTCTGAGAGAGCTTCCTCCCAGCTGTGCAGTCTGCCTGCACTGGGTCATTTGCTGTGTATTTTAATTGGCAGAACAAATGACTTTCTCTCCAAAGCACCACTCCATTTTAAAGCCTGATTCTGCAGGCACGAATGGAGCAGGGCTCTGTTACAAGCTCCAGCTTCCATGGAGGGAAGAGCATTCTGTGTGGGAGAGCATTGTTGCCTCCTTTGAGGGAATGGAATTTACAGGGATTGTTGATGAGCCTGCTGAAAGAGGCACCTTCACCTCTGAGCAGCAGCTGGAGGTGGAGAGGAGAGACAAGAACCTGGGCAGCAGTCAGCTCTTAAACACAAGAAAAAGGGCAAGGTTTTGCTGGAGAACCTCTTGAGTCAGTTCTCTTTCCTAAATATGCCAGGCAGGTTTTGCATCTCAGGCTTCTCCTGAGGGTCAGGACCTGCCTCCCTGTCTCTTCCTGCCAGCACAGCTCTGCCTGCTCAGGTGCAGGTGGCTTTTCTCTCATGTCTGTGCAGCAGTGACAGCAGAGCTGTGCTCTGTTGCAGCCCTGTGCCCTCTGTGTGTGCTGTGTGTACTGTGTGCCCTGTGTGTGCTGTGTGTGCCCTGTGTGCCCTGTGTGCCCTGTGTGCCCTGTGTGTGCCCTGTGTGTGCTGTGTGTGCTCTGTGTGCCCTGTGTGTGCTGTGTGTGCTGTGTGTGCTGTGTGTGCTCTGTGCCCTGTGTGTGCTCTGTGTGCCCTGTGTGTGTTGTGTGTGCTGTGTGCCCTGTGTGTGCCCTGTGTGCCCTGTGTGTGCTCTGTGTGCCCTGTGTGTGCTGTGTGTGCTGTGTGCCCTGTGTGCCCTGTGTGTGCCCTGTGTGCCCTGTGTGTGCTCTGTGTGCCCTGTGTGTGCTGTGTGTGCTGTGTGTGCTGTGTGTGCTCTGTGCCCTGTGTGTGCTCTGTGTGTGCTGTGTGTGCTGTGTGTGCTGTGTGCCCTGTGTGTGCTCTGTGCCCTGTGTGCCCTGTGTGTGCTGTATGTGCTGTGTGTGCTGTGTGTGCTCTGTGCCCTGTGTGTGCTCTGTGTGTGCTGTGTGTGCTCTGTGTGTGCTCTGTGCCCTGTGTGTGCTCTGTGCCCTGTGTGCCCTGTGTGTTCTGTGTGTGCTCTGTGTGCCCTGTGTGTGCTGTGTGTGCCCTGTGTGCCCTGTGTGTGCTGTGTGTGCTGTGTGTGTTGTGTGTGCTGTGTGCCCTGTGTGTGCCCTGTGTGCCCTGTGTGTGCTCTGTGTGCCCTGTGTGTGCTGTGTGTGCCCTGTGTGCCCTGTGTGTGCTGTGTGTGCTGTGTGTGCTGTGTGTGCTGTGTGTGCTGTGTGTGCCCTGTGTGCCCTGTGTGCCCTGTGTGCCCTGTGTGTGCCCTGTGTGTGCTGTGTGTGCTGTGTGTGCTCTGTGTGCCCTGTGTGTGCTGTGTGTGCTGTGTGCCCTGTGTGTGCTGTGTGCCCTGTGTGCCCTGTGTGCCCTGTGTGTGCTGTGTGTGCTGTGTGTGCTGTATGTGCTGTGTGCCCTGTGTGTGCCCTGTGTGCCCTGTGTGTGCTCTGTGTGCCCTGTGTGTGCTGTGTGTGCTGTGTGCCCTGTGTGCCCTGTGTGTGCCCTGTGTGCCCTGTGTGTGCTCTGTGTGCCCTGTGTGTGCCCTGTGTGCCCTGTGTGCCCTGTGTGTGCTGTGTGTGCTGTGTGTGCTGTGTGTGCTCTGTGCCCTGTGTGTGCTCTGTGTGTGCTGTGTGTGCTGTGTGTGCTGTGTGCCCTGTGTGTGCTCTGTGCCCTGTGTGCCCTGTGTGTGCTGTATGTGCTGTGTGTGCTGTGTGTGCTCTGTGCCCTGTGTGTGCTCTGTGCCCTGTGTGCCCTGTGTGTTCTGTGTGTGCTCTGTGTGCCCTGTGTGTGCTGTGTGTGCCCTGTGTGCCCTGTGTGTGCTGTGTGTGCTGTGTGTGCTGTGTGTGTTGTGTGTGCTGTGTGCCCTGTGTGTGCTGTGTGTGCTGTGTGTGCTGTGTGTGCTGTGTGCCCTGTGTGCCCTGTGTGCCCTGTGTGTGCTGTGTGTGCTGTGTGTGCTGTGTGTGTTGTGTGTGCTGTGTGCCCTGTGTGTGCTGTGTGTGCTGTGTGTGCTGTGTGTGCTGTGTGCCCTGTGTGCCCTGTGTGCCCTGTGTGTGCTGTGTGCCCTGTGTGTGCTGTGTGTGCTGTGTGTGCTGTGTGCCGTGTGTGCCCTGTGTGTGCTCTGTGTGTGCTGTGTGTGCTGTGTGTGCTGTGTGTGCTGTGAGTGCTCTGTGCCCTGTGTGCCCTGTGTGTGCTGTGTGCCCTGTGTGTGCTGTGTGTGCTGTGTGTGCTGTGAGTGCTGTGTGCCCTGTGTGCCCTGTGTGTGCTCTGTGTGCCCTGTGTGTGCTGTGTGTGCTGTGTGTGCTGTGTGTGCTCTGTGTGCCCTGTGTGTGCTGTGTGTGCTGTGTGTGCTGTGTGTGCTGTGTGTGCTGTGAGTGCTCTGTGCCCTGTGTGCCCTGTGTGTGCTGTGTGCCCTGTGTGTGCTGTGTGTGCTGTGTGTGCTGTGTGTGCTGTGTGTGCTGTGAGTGCTGTGTGCCCTGTGTGCCCTGTGTGTGCTCTGTGCCCTGTGTGTGCTGTGTGCCGTGTGTGCCCTGTGTGTGCTCTGTGTGTGCTGTGTGTGCTGTGTGTGCTGTGTGCCCTGTGTGCCCTGTGTGTGCTGTGTGTGCTGTGTGTGCTGTGTGTGTTGTGTGTGCTCTGTGCCCTGTATGTGCTGTGTGTGCTGTGTGCCCTGTGTGCCCTGTGTGTGCTGTGTGTGCTGTGTGTGTTGTGTGTGCTCTGTGCCCTGTATGTGCTGTGTGTGCTGTGTGTGCTGTGTGCCCTGTGTGCCCTGTGTGTGCTGTGTGTGCTGTGTGTGAGCCCTTGGCATGAGGAGCCCTCAGGAGAGGCCGTGCCAGGAGCTGCTCCCTGTCCATGATCACACATGGTGTGCACAGGCTGAGGACACCATGTCAGAGCCAGGCAGGCCCCAGAGACCGTAGGACTGGTTTTCCACCCTTCCTTGCATTGTGCAGGTGTCTCCCACCATGGTGACACAGTCCTGGGTGCTGATCCCTCCCTTCCCACCAGAACAAGTAGGACTCTGCTGCTCAAAACTCACCCAGTCCTGCGTGGATGCTCAGGGGTACTTTGCCACCTGAAGTGACAAAACACTTGTCTGCTTTTGCAAATGGGCCTTTGGTTGGTGTGGCTGGTGCTCGGTGTCTAACCCATGAAGCCCTGTGCTCAGATAATGTCCATTTCTGGAGCAACCCAGGGCAGCAACTTGACACTGTGGCTTGGGCCACGCTGGAGCCCTCTAAATCCACAGGCTGAAGCTGATGAGATGAATGATTGCCAGGAGCCAACCTTAGCAGCATTTTCCACTCTTAAATATCACAGTAATAAAAGGTAAAATCATTAAAGTCCTTCTGCAGCCCCCTGTGCCTCATCTGAAATGAGGACGACGAAGGGCGCAGAGCGAGGGGTTATTAATATCCTGTCTCACGATGATGGCTTTATAAACATCCCTACCCCAGGCACAGCCTCGCTGGGCTGCTCTGCCATGACCTTCAGCCAAATGCCATGCTTTTATCACACTTGATATTTAACCAATAAAGCAAGGGGAGGAAGACTTTGCCCCTAAATATCTGACCTTATACACAGGGGGATGGGGCCAAAACTGAGAGAAACTGTGTTAAGTGTAGCCATGCTAAACGCTCCTCAGACCTGATGCTCCTCTCTGGGAGCTGTGCCAGAGCTCCAGCAAGAAGGGGATCAGATGTTTGACGCAGTGGAAACCCTCCATGCCGCAGGGGATGACTCATGGGCAAGAGCCCCACACAGCAGCAAGGCCACACTCATGCAAAGCAGGGGATTTTGACTGGTGGGAAGAGGTCTTGATGGAGACAGGAGAGCCCTGACTGCAGGGAAAGGAACAGCTCCCACTCTGGAGAGCCCCAGAAAGGACACCAGCTGTCCTTGTGACTGGTAGATCTTGAAAGTAAGAATCAAAATCATGTCCCAATGGCAGGGCATTGGAACTAGATGGCCTTAAAGGTCCCTTCCAACCCAAACCAGTCTGTGATTCTATAATCAGAGAGGAGAAAAGATTTTGTAAGTTAATGGATGGAAAAGGTAAGGAGCAGCTGTGAAGCCAGGATCTCTTGGTGGGCAGAAGACTGGGGTCACTAGTCCCCATCAGGACCTGACATTGTCTGGATGCCCTTAGAAATGGCCCTTAATGTTCCCTGCTCCCACTTCACTTCCACAGAGTGCCCTTTGCTGGACTAACAACTCTGAGAAAAGTCATGTACCACAAAGAGCAGAGGGATGGTGCTCAGTGCAGGGTTCCTGTGGAAGGGTGGGTGTGGAGAGGGTACACGAGACTGTCCCAGGCCAATGGTGATGGACAGCAATCACCCAGCACGGGTCTGGGGGTGCCAGGCCCTGCAGCCTCCACTGCTGAGGGGGCTGAGATCTCTCTAGGAGCTGGATGGTAGAGACTGGGTGTGTGCAGAGATTGCCCTGCTGGGATGGATCCAGACCAGCTGTAGAGCTGAGCAGCCTGAGGTTGCTTTGGGCATCCCAGCTTGTGCCTGGAAGCAAATGTCCTACCTGCAGGGATCATATGAGCCCCTTGGCACCCCTGCAGGGCCAGCAGCCAGGAACAGATCTGCCTCAGCTGAAAACAGATGGGTGAGGGCATTGCTGGCACTGGTGCTCACCTTGCAGCCGCTCATGTTGGCGCTGCCTGGGAGTGCTCTGGCTCTCCGATTGCTGTCTTGGTCCTGACAGTACAGATGTGCCTCTGCCTTTCTGGCACATCCTCCATGCCTCATTTCCCTCCTGGCTTTTCTCCCAGGTCATCCTCCCCTAAAATGACCCAGCAGATGCGGGACCTGCAGCTGGCGCAGGCCAGGAAGCCACCAGGCCCTTCCTCACCAAACGCAGCCAAGAGGCTCTACCGAAACCTGTCCGGGAAATTCCGCGTCAACTACACCTCCTTCGACGAGGGCAGCCTGGTGGGACGGGGCGAGAAGGAGAAGCTCCGCAAGTCCTACCTGGTCAGTGCATGATAGCTCCATCCAGGTGGGACAGAGGGTCTGTGGGGGCTGGATCCATCCAGGAGGAGACAGAGGGTCTGTGGGGGCTGGATCCATCCACATGGGAACAGAGGGGCTGTGGGGGCTGGATCCATCCAGGAGGAGACAGAGGGGCTGTGGGGGCTGGATCCATCCAGGAGGAGACAGAGGGTCTGTGGGGGCTGGATCCATCCGCATGGGGACAGAGGGTCTGTGGGGGCTGGATCCATCCAGGAGGAGACAGAGGGGCTGTGGGGGCTGGATCCATCCAGGAGGAGACAGAGGGGCTGTGGGGGCTGGATCCATCCAGGAGGAGACAGAGGGTCTGTGGGGGCTGGATCCATCCGCATGGGGACAGAGGGTCTGTGGGGGCTGGATCCATCCAGGAGGAGACAGAGGGGCTGTGGGGGCTGGATCCATCCAGGTGGGACAGAGGGGCTGTGGGGGCTGGATCCATCCAGGGGGGCAGAGTGGCTGTGGGGGCTGGATCCATCCACATGGGGACAGAGGGTCCCTGTGTGGGTGGTGCTGGAGCCTGGGTGGGAGCACAAATTGTGTTAAGTGAAGCTGTAGCAGCTCAGTTGGAGGTGGTCCAGGTGTTCACTTGGCATCATCCAGATGTGTCTGCAAAGAGCTGATGGTCGCAAGCCCTTGGGATGAGGGCACCCTCTCCCTGATTGGGTTCATGGGGTGCTAGTGAGGGTCCAGGGTGTGTGGTGGGATGGAGGAGGGTGCCTTATGCTCAGCCCAGCTGCACTTCTCCTTTCACCCAGTTCCAGAGCAATGCTGCGCTCTTTGAGGCTGTGGAACTGCAGGATCTTGACAGGGTGCAGGAGATGCTGAAGCACTACAGCCCTGAGGAGCTGGACCTCAACACCCCCAACAGCGAGGGGCTCCTGCCCCTGGACATCGCCATCATGACCAACAATGCTCCCATCGCCAGGGCCCTGCTGCAGGCGGGAGCGAAGGAGAGCCCACACTGTGAGTTGGGACAGGAGTTGTGCTGTGCCCATCACCTGGGTCTGCAGCATGGTGCAGTGGAGCACCCCAGGCAGTGGATGCAGGTGGGGAGGTGATCACTGGGCTCTGGGACACCGGTGCAGGCTGCAGCAGGGCTGCAGGGGAAGCACGCACTCAGTCAGCCCCAGGACCGGGATACAGCGAGGAGCTGGGGTCTCAGGGTGGGGATTCTTCCAGCAGAGGCAGAGTTGCCCTAACCACCTTGTCCTCCCTTTGCTCCTGGGCCCGCGGCCGTGTGCTCCCTCCCGCAGTCGTGAGCCTGGAGAGCCGCTCGCTGCACCTGTCCACGCTGGTGCGGGAGGCGGAGCAGCGCGTCAACGAGCTGATGGCGCAGGTGGTGAACGAGGCGCCCCACGCCGACTGCTCCGAGAAGGAGAAGCAGCTCAAGGCCTGGGAGTGGCGGTTCCGGCTGTACAAGCGCATGAAGGCAGGGTTTGAGCATGCCCGTGAGTGCCCGCAGCGCGGCTGGGGCTGTCCCTGCTCCGGGGCAAGGACTGGGGCTGTGCATGGCACCAGCTCCCATCACCTGCACCCTGAGGCCAGGCTTGCAGTGTGGTGCATGGAGGGGAGAACGTGTTCCATCAGGGAATACGTCCCTGGGACCGGGGAGAGGCCCCAGAGGGACGCAGGGAGGTTCAGAGTGACCGTCATGGCTGTAGCAGCCCCTGCCCTCTCTGTCCCCAGGAGTGCCAGATGCCCCCAGCAGCGTCCACCTCTCTGTGGCCAGCAGCACCTCACTGCAGGTGACCTTCTGGGAGCCCCTGAGTGTCAACTCAGCCGTTGTCACCAAGTACAAAGGTAAGGATGGGGATGCCTGCAGCAGGGCAGGGTCACACAGCCACAGCAAGTGCCTTGCACCCATGTCAACACAACAGAGCCATAGGCAGTGCTGCCAAGCCCCAGTCAGGCCACTTTTATGCTGGAGGACAGAGGCAGCCACAGCTGCTGGACAGCCTGGCCACCACCAAAATGCTCTGAGCTAGACCAAACATCATCCTGCACCAAGGCAAAACTTGGGGTGTCGCTTGTTGGCTGCTCCCTCATCCTGCACCCTGGGAAGACTTTGTTGTTATGCACCCCTCACCCACTTAAACCAGATATTTTTGGCTTCTGGAAGAATTTCTTCCATCTCCCACTTCTGAGCCACCAATTAGAGGTGCTGAGCCCATCTTATGTGGCTTGGTGAGGACAGCAGCTCCCCATGACCTTCCCCCCTCCATGAATCACCTTTTCCATGCCTGCACTCCGCTGCCTCCATCTCCTGTGCTGTCTGCAGTGCTCCTGCAGCTGCTCTCTGTGACACGCTGCCCCAGCCCTGGTGGCCTGTCCCCACTCCAGGGCCTCATGGCACCTTGGGGTCTCTGTCCTTGCAGTGGAGTGGAGCTGCTCCCCCACCTTCTCACCACTGCTGGGAGAAGCTGTGATTGACAAGCTGAAGGACCTGCACTTCACCATCCAGGGGCTGGTGTCGGTGAGTGCCCACAGCGGGCAGGGCTCAGCAGGGAGAGCCCACAGCTGGGAAAAGGCCTTAGTGCGGCCCATGAGGAGAGGATCAGGCACTGCCACAGGCTGCCCAGGGCAGTGGTGGAGTCATCATCCCTGGAAATGTTCACAAGATGTGTATTTGGTACCTGGGGACATGGTTTAGTGGTGGCCTTGGCAGTGGTGGGACTCAGTGATCCTAGATGCCTTTTCCAACCTTAATGGTTCTTTGTTTCTATGATCATTCTGAGCAGGAACAATAGGGCTGTGCCACGCTGTGTGCCATGTGCCTGGGCAGAGCCAAGACTGTGGGGCTGGGAGAAGCATCTGTCTGTCCCTGCATGGCTGCAGCCCCTGACAGTGGGGCACCTCCCTGAGAGGGGACTGCAGTGACAGCCAGAATGGGCCCATTCACCAACTCTGATTTATCCTCTGTCCCCCTCCCCACTCCTGTCTCCACCCAGGCTCTTCCTGGGCAGTAAATCAGTGCTCAGCCCTCTGCCACCTGCACAGTCCAACCCCTCAGCCCAGCCCCAGTGTCACCACGAGGGGGGACCAGCCCCATCTTCATCTCTGGGAGCTTGGCAAGGTCGTGGGCTGTGGCTCCCTGCTGGTTTATCTCCCTGAGAGCTGCAGGAGCCATGCCTGGGCTGGCACCAGGGACACGGGGACTGTGGTGGGATGGAGCTCAGGATGGGAACACGGGGAGGTGCTGGGATAAATGGGGTCAGCCTTAGCAGGGGTAGGCAGGCAGGGAGCACTGATTTGAGGAGCAGAGAACCCCTTGGTGAGGTGAGGTGAGGTGAGGTGAGGTGAGGTGAGGTGAGAGGGGCTGAGGCCCAGCAGCAGTGCCGAGCCCAGGAGCTGTCAGGGCTGTCTATGGTGTGGCAGGAGGGGCTCGAGCAGAGCCTGGAGCAGCATCACTGCAAGGAGCTGCTCCAAGCGCATCAATCACACCCTCAGAGCTGCTTCACAGGCTCCTGTCACCTTCATGAGTGCCTGGAGGCCTGGCAACATCTGGCAGCTTGGCTGGGCTTTAATCAGAGGCTTTAATCACTGTCACTGTGCTACTTGACAGTGCTGGGCCAGCTCCCTGTCTCCAGGGGCTGGATCCTTACGTGTCCCAGGGGATCGCCAGCACCCCAACCCACAGAAGCACTGAGTCTTTCAGGCTGGAGCCTCTCTGGCAAGGGACATTTGCAATGTCCAGTCCTTCCTCTGTGTGCCCCAAACCCACCCAGCAGGGCCACAGGGATTCTCTAGTGCCTCATAACAAGGGCTTTGCACAGGAGGGGAGGTGAGAGCCAGTGACCTGGGCTGTGGGCTCCTAGCTGAGTGCTCCTCATGCTGTACTGGAGCAGAGGGCTGGGGGAATCCCCCTTGCCCCAGCTGCCAAGCTGGGAGGGGTGGGGTGTGCTGAGTGCTGCTCTCCTTGCAGGGCACGGCGTACCACGTCCGCGTGTCTGCCTACAACATGAAGGGCTGGGGTCCCCCGCAAGCCTCCACGCCCCCCTTCGCCATCCCCTCCAGTGAGTACCCCTGGCAACACCCCCATGGATGCCAGCGTGGGGCAGGGGGGACAGGACAGCGCCCTGTGCCATCCAGGGGTCCCTCTCACTGCTGGGATGGGAGTGAGTGGAGCTGGGGCAGAGTTTGGAGTCTCAGGCCGGGCAGGGAGGCTGTGCCTGGGGGTCTGGGGTGCTGCCTGCAGCCAACAGGGGCTTTGCAAACAGTGAGTTTGCAGCCTTGAATTACCCTTGGTACTTGGGAAAGTCTGAGCCATTTCAGGCCACCTGGATCAGCTCATCCCATGGAGGAAGCTGGGAGGTGGCAAAGAGCCAGGACTCAGAGGGGTCCTGGGTGGCAGTGGCCTCTGTGCCACCACATGGTCTCTCCCATCCAGCCCTGACCCAAGGACCTGCATTCCCTGGCTTGATGGGGGTCACAAGCCCCAACAGAGACCAGGTCTGGGCTGTCAGCGCTCTCCTCCACATGCTGGCCCCAGGAAAAAGCCACCCAGTGTCACACAAGGAACCCCAGGGGGCTGGGTGGAGAAGGGCCAGGAGGGCTGAGCTGGAAGGAGCAGCCCAAAGGTGAAGTTCAGGACTAAGGGGGCTCCAGAATGGCCTCTGCCACTTGTCACCAGTCCCTAAACAGGTGCCTGTGTGGTGTCCCATGGGACTGGTGCTGAAAACGAGTAAGGAGCAGCCCCATGGGAGGCTGAGCTTGTCCCAGGGATCAGGCCATGGAAGCACGTCCTGTCCCACCGTGCTGCAGGCACCCAGGGAGCAGGGCTGCTGCTCCTGGGAGGAGGGAGGGCACTGGGAACAGATGGAGATGAACAGTAATGGCTCAGAGATGTGCAGCACCATGCACACAGCTCTGGCTGCAGATCCACAGAGCGCTGAAATCACCAAAAATCCATTTGCATGTCTAGGAATGCACACAGCAAGGGCACAGCAGTCTACTGCCGTGGCTTTATCTTGTCCCTGTCATGTTTGCACCCACTTTAAAGCCCATTTGCCACCTCACACAGGTCACATTCCCTGTGACCACGATCCAGGTGGCATCAATTGAGTGTGGCTGAAGTGAATCAGACAGGAGTGGAGTTTATTTATTTTTATTGCCAGTAATATTTCTCCCTTCAGTGGAGATCCCTCCCTGGCCCAGCAGAATATGGTCAGGCACCTCCCTGGGTGTTTTTAAAGCTACTAAAAATAGCGGCAAGTTCCAGCCAAAGTTAACAGAGCTGAACTTTCCATGGAAAACAGCAGCGGGCAGGACATGGGGTGTTTAAAGCAATTAATATAAAGTTGAGGGAGAAGAGCAGGCAGGTCCCCAGCCCTGCTCAGGGTCCTGCTGCTGTCCCACAGCGGGTGGAGCTGGCAGGAGTTTATTTATGTGGTTGTCGAGGTAAGCCCGGCTTCCAGCGCTCATCTGGAGTAACTGGGAAAGACCTGGAGGAAGAGACTGGAAAGAATTTTATTTTTTAAGACCAGTGAAGTGTAGCAGCAACAGACAGAACCTTGTTCCTTGGCCCTGGTGTGTCCCTGCCACGCTGTGGGGAGGCTGGTGGCCACGGGGTGCTGTGCAGAGCTGGGTGTTCCTGGGAAGAGGGGCACAAAGCTGGGGATCGCCCAGCACCCACAAGTGCTGCCATGCTGTGGCATGAGGGGGACACCCAGGGGGAGTGTGAGGAGGGGATGGAGCCCTTGTGCCCCAGAGGTGCCCCCACGCAGGCAGAGGGTGCCGGGGTGACGCTGCTGTGTCCCACAGACTGGCGCGAGTACGACGGGCGGGCGCCGCGGCGGCGGGGCCAGGCCGAGGCCCTGGACCATCTCCTGGGCCAGGTGAAGACCGTCCACCAGCACTGCATCTGCCACGGTGAGCACACAGCACGGTGCTCCACGGAGGCTGGGGCGGGGGCAGCTGAGCCCTGGGGGTGCTGGTGTGATCTGCAGAGCTGGGTGCTGCAGGAACAGCTCTGTGCCAGGGATGTGAAGGGCAGGGAGACAGCTCAGGCAGTGGAGACCTCAGCAGAGGGTTGGTATCAGCTCTTCATCTCCTGCTGCAGCATCCTCTGCTCTCTGCTCCACAGAGCCCTGCAAGAACCAGCCCCAGAGCAGAAAGCATTCAGTCTCCAAGAGCCTCAAGCACCTCTTCCACCCTGGCAGCAAGTTTCTCAAGACACTGAAGCGGTGAGAGGCTGGTGCTCGGGGATGGTGAGAGCCCCTGTCCCAGCAGGGCTGCAGAGCTGCCCATCCTGAGAGCTGTGCCTGCATGCTGGGGGCTGGGGGTGCTCAGAGCAGGGTCTGCACTGGGAGTGAGCTGCTGGTGTCAGTGGAGATGAATCCCATGGCCCAGAGATCAGAGGTTCTCTTGGTGTCTCTGTTTGGACTGGCCAAGCTGTGCTGGTGCCCAGATCCCTGCTTCACCTCTGGGGCTCACCTGGCACTCCACCTTGTCCAGACCCAGAGTGTTCCCTGCAGCCTGGCCCATCTCTGCCCCATGTGCTGCAGGGTCATGGGCCGTGGTGTCCCTGGGACACGTTGGGTTCCTGTCCCTGCTCCCGTACCAGCCACCAGCCTCTTCTGCCATGGGCTGTTGGAGAGAAGTGGGGACTGGGACATCTGCTCTTCTCTCAGGAAAGAGACCCTTTGGGAGACAGAGCTGGCAGCTGGGGTGGCACTGAAGTCTCTCTTCTCTCCCATGCAGGGGCCTCTACCTGACAGCCATCTTCTACAAGGATGACAACATCCTGGTGACCCACGAGGACCAGATCCCTGTGGTGGAGATTGATGACACCTACTCCTGCCTGCTCATGCAGGATTTCCTCTGGCTCACCAAGGTGGGTGGCTGAGGGACCCTGTGCTTGGGCAGAGGGCCAGGAGTGCCAAGGTGACCCAGGCAGGCATCAGGCAACACTTCCGCCCCTCCAGCCTGGACACTGGGGCTTGGCAGTGCAGGCAGCACGTGGACTTGCTTCTTGCTGGGGTTCAGCACAGACCAGGAAGTTTCCAGGGAATGGCATTTCATCAAGCCCAAAGATGGATGACAGACCAGAGCAACACTGAGCAGGCTGTGTGCCAGGGTGGGTGGCACTGCCTCTGCACAGGGATGTTGGTGGCTGTTGAACTGCTTCCCCTCAGCATCCTGCCATGGCACCTCTGCCTCTGCTGTAGGATGCACAGGGAGCAGCTGCCAGCTCCTCTGATGTCAGCAGACTTAGGGAAAGGGCACGTAGGCAGCTCAGGGCCAAAATAATTTGCTGGGTGATCCTTATCTACTGACGGAGAGTGCTTTCTTCTCCCTCCCCACCTTGGCCAACTTGTATTCAAGCTTAAGGTTTCAGTCCTGGATGAAGATGGGTGTCTGAGTGGACGTGGCTCAGGGCTGCCCTCGGGTGCAGGCACCTCAGTGCCTGTGGCACAGGGATTGGTTTGCACCCCTGCTGAGAGGTGCTGCATGCCCATGCACATTCCTGACCCAGCTCAGAGAGGCAAACAGCTTCCCCAGAACTCCCTGGTGTGCCCCAGCTGCAGCAGCAGTGACACTGTGGTGTGTGCAGGTGTCGTGCATGTGGGACGAGATCCTGTGGCTGCGGCAGTGCGTCACCGTGTCCCAGTCCTCCTGCTCCTGCATCCTGCAGACACGCTTCAAGATGCTGCTGGCCATCTCACAGATGCAGGTGAGGGTCAGCCTGGGGGGAACAATCACTTTAAGTGGGATGCTGGAGGCTGAGCTCCCTTGGGAGCAGCATGCAGATGTACCACAGTCAGATAAACCCAGGATCTGCTGGCCATGACTGCGTGTCCCTGCCTCGTCCCCCCGGCAGGACTCTGGCCGTGGCACAGTGAGGTGCCAGCTGTCATGGCAGTGTCCTGCAGAGGGGCTGGGCACCATCAGGGTGCTTTTCTGGGCAGACTGATTTCCAGCAGGCAGCTGCAGGCACATTTCAGCTGCCCAGACCCACCATGCCTCCGGGATGTCCCCTGACCCTCTGCTTTCTCCTGCCTTCCCACCCTGTCACACAGGGGCTGCTGGGCATCCAGGACCTGGGGCAGGTCTTCTTTGAGCCCATCAAAGACAAACAGGGCAACATCCTCATCGTCACCCTGAAGGAGGTGAAGACCAACCAGACCTTCGAGAGCGTCCGCTGGGTGCCCATCTGCAAGCTGCAGAGCGGCCGCAAGTCCGTGTCCTCCCCCGAGGAGCCCACGGCCCTGGACACGCTGCTCATCTCCCTGCAGGTCTGTGCTGGGGCTCCCCTGGGAAACACCAGTGCTTCCTGCTCCCCTCGGCCTGGAAGGGTCACAGCAGAGGGGGAGCAGAGCCCAGCCAGCTCCAAAATTCCTGTTGTGTCAAGGGGAGGCATCCAGATGGTGCCAGATTGGAGCTGGCAGCACCGGGTTGTGTTCCTGTGCCGCTCCCCTTCTCCAGCTGGACTGGCTGTGCTGCAGCATCAGCACAAGCCCTGCTGTGGGGACTTGCTTAGTCCAGCTGTGTCTTTGTTCCCAGGACAAGCTGGCTTATCACCAGCGGAGCAGCCATGCCCTCTCCCCGGGGCTCTACCTGGGCTACTTGAAGCTGTGCAGTGCCGTGGATCAGATCCGAGTGCTGGTGCCAGAGCAGCTCCCCAACATCCTGTGCCACGTCAAGATCCGCTCCAACCCCAACATCTCCAGGTGGGATTTGCAGGGCATGGTGAGAGCCCCTGTCCCAGCCAGGCTGCTGTGTCCCAGCCAGGCTACCAGCATCCATCACCTCCTGCTTCAGCAGCAGTGTAATATCCCCTCCTGTCCCCGCTGTGCAGCGCTCTCAGGCACAGGGTGGGGTTGTTAGGGTGTCCTGGGTGGAGTCAGAGCTGAACTCCACAATCCTGTGGGTCCCATCCAGCTCAGCATATTCTGTGCTTCTGATTCAGCTTAGAGCAAACCAAGTTCCCTCTCTACCTCCACCTCTCCCAAACCTCCGGGGATGCTGCACTGCCTGGGAGAGGAACAGCCAAGCAAACACAGCTCTCAGAGAAGTTATATCCACATCCACCCAAACTGCTCCCTCCTTCACTTGTCTGTCTCTGGCCTTCTGCAGGGAGGAGTGGGAGTGGCTGCAGAAGATGGCCAGCGTGGAGGAGCCTGTTCCCACAGAGCCAGAGACTGACAGGTCCCAGAACCCCTTGTTTCAGGAGCTCCAAGTGGCCATCAAGGAGCTGATGACCCTGGTGAACATCCCACTGCAAGAGGTAGAGGCAGGAGCCAAGGCCTGGGCAGAGGGAGGGGATGGGGCTGTGAGCACAGTGCTGGTGGTTGCAGCAGGTGGGGAACTGCATGTCTGGCTCTCCTTGTGAGGCTGGAGCACCCAGATTTTAGTGCTGTGCTAACAAAAGGTTTGTGAGTGGTGAGTCTGCCCTGCCCAGGCACAGTGTCCACAGGAGCTGTTTGTCTTTCCCACACTGTACCCCCAAAGCAACAACAGCAAGTCTGGGTTGTTACTGCTGCCAGGGGTGTGGTCCTGGGCAGCACGAGACCAGCCCAGCTCTGCCCCTCCAAAGCAGGCTGGTCCCTGGCCAGTGCTGGGCTGGAGCTGCAGCCCCTGGGGCCAGACTGCATGGGGAGAAACTTTCTTCCATCATGCCAAATATCTGCTGGGAAGCAACAACCCAGCAGCCCCAATGACAGGTATGTGCTTCTGGCTGGGCAGCTGGGAGGGCACCTCCCTGCTCATTGCTGAACCATCACTGGTGGCACGTTTTCAACACCCTGTTGTGGTGGCTTTGACCAGAAGTTTTGAAACTTTTAGGAAAAATTAGAGAAGAAGTGATGAGATTATGCAGATTATGCTGGAAGCAAGGAGCCTCTGGTTATGTGCTGAAGGTGCAGTGTCCCCGGGCTGCAGGTGGTCCCTGAGGACTGCTCCATGCATGAGGACTGGGCAGAGGCCCCCCCAGGTGATGTGTGCAGCTGTTACCTGCACTATCCTCTTGCAGGCCAAAGACTTCCGTCTGTACAGCCAGGAGGTGCTGGACTTTGGGGATCAGGTCTCCTTCCTGCTGCTGCTGCCTCCATCAGACGACGTCTGCATCGCTCCAGGCCAGAACAACCCCTACACCCCTCGCTCTGGCTTCCTCACGCTGCCGCTGCAGATCTTTGAGCTGGGTGAGGAAAGGGAGTGCCAAAACCCAACTTTGCTGGTCCCCTTGTTCTCTGAGGCTCCCTGAGAGCTGGGCTGGGCAGGGAGTGGGTGCCTAGAGTTCCCTCCCTCCCTGGGGAGGAGGCATGCAGGGATGTACTGACGGCTATCCAGGTGGACTAATGGCCAGTGTTGCCTCCTCATCTTGGGTGACAGGGAGGAGGCTGTAGGGCATCCACAGCATGGGACCTCATGTTTTTCATCCCCCCTCTCGTTTCCTCTCCCAGTCCACTTCTTCACGTACAGCCGGGAGTTCATCACACAGTACTGCCAGGTGTCCGCCCTGCTGGAGCTGGAGTCCCTCCTGTCCCAGCAGAGCCTCAGGGAGGCTTTCTCCGATGCTGAGCTCGCCACTGCCAAGCAGAGGCACCAGCAGGTTCAGGACTACATCCAGGTATGGAGGGGAGGAGGCTCAGCAGTGCCCCTGACCTGCCAGGACACAGGCAGCAGCATCTGCACCCAGGCTGTTCCCTGGTCTTGGTAGCCCTGGGGGATTTCTCTGAGGTTGCTCATGGGTAGCAGCAGGCTGGTCTTTCATCGATTCATGGAACGGTTTGGGTTGGAACAGATACTAAACCTCATCCAGCCCCCACCTTCCACTTTCCGTGGTTGCTCCAAGCCCTGCCCAGCTTGGCCTTGCACACTTCCAGGGATCCAGGGGCAGCCACAGCTGCTCTGGGCACCCTGTGCCAGGGCCTCCCCTCACAGGGAACAATTCCTGCCCAATATCCCATCTAATCCTGCCCCCTAGCAGTGGGAAGCTATTCACCCTTGTCCCATCCCTCCATCTCTTGTCCCACTTCCCTCTCCAGCTCTCCTGGAGCCCCTTTGGGCAATGGAAGGGGCTCTGAGGTGTCCCTGGAGCCTCCTCAACTCTTCTCCAGGCTGCAGCTGCTTTATCGAGCAACTTCTTACTGCAGTGATCACATTAAAAATCCCAAGGAGACACCCAAAGTGCACATGCCCTCCTTGCTAGAAAAAGGCCTGCAAGTGCATTTTAGGATGGACTTGCAAAAGAGCATCCCACACTACTCCTGTCCCCAGCACCCCTGCTGAACCAGCAGCTGCATCCTCCTCCTGCCTGAGAGCACTTTCTTTGCATTTCCCAGCTCAGGGATTCCCCCAGAGCTCTGGGGAGATCTGTGTGTGTGTACAGACTCTGTGTTTTGCCATGGCACTTTCTTGCTGTGGTTTGCTGTGTGAAAGGGCTCCTCCATTTCCTCTGTTGGCAGCAAATGGAAGAGATCTGGCGAGAGATGCGCTGGATCATGGATGTCCTGCAGCACGCCCGCTACAAGCAGCCCTCCTGTGGGATCTCTCTCAGTGGCTTCCTCAGCGAGGCCGGGGGGCCAGCGAAGGAGAAAACCCGATCCTCCTCATCCCACCTGGACTACCTTCCGTCCCCAGTGCTGTCACCAGAGACCAGCCGCAAGCTCAACTCCGGTAGGGACCCGAGCTCCCGCCTGGGGGCTCAGGGGCTGCCCGGGCTCGGGGGGTCGGGGTGGCTGTGCCCGGGGTGACTGTGCCCGGGCTGGGGCTCGGGGGGTCGGGGTGGCTGTGCCCGGGGTGCCGGCAGGGCTGGAGCTGTGGACACCCAGGGCAGTCGGTCTCAGGGGGGCAGACCCGCCTTATCTGTGCCGAGCCGAGCACCTCAGGTGTGTCACAAGGGGATAAACCCCAGAGGCTTCCCTGGATTCCCCTGAGCGAGGGATTCCACACTCAGGCTGAGCCGCTCTTCGCTGCTCTCCCCCCGGCAGACTCGCACGGCCTGTCGGACGAGGAGGGCTCCTCGGAGGTGTTCCTGGCCACCGACAGCGACTACGACTCGAGCCGGGCGCAGAGCCCGAAGGAGCTGGACCTGGTGTGCTCCACCTCAGGGCCCGAGTGCTGCGGCCGGAGGGGGGCCCGCACCCTGCGGGACAGCGCCCCGGACGTCCTGCAGAGCCACGAGCTCCAGACCGCCCCCGCAGGGCCGCCCCCGCCCGAGGAGCCCCGGCCGCCGGCCAAGCTCTACGACAGTGACTTTGTGCTGCCCAGCCGGCAGATCGAGCTGCTGCGCATCACCGAGAAGCGACAGGCCTACTGCGTCCGGACCAGCAGCCTGGACTTCCCCAAGCCGCACTGCCCTGCCCCGAGGAAGTCGTGCCCCGGCTCCGTGGACAGCTCCCCGGCCGAGAGCAGGAGCGCGGGCCCGGGCGGGCAGCTCCGGCTGCGGCCTGGCTCCACACCCAGCCCCGAGCGCCGCCGGGGCCGCCGGGGCTCCCATGAGTGGACTCAGGACTTGCCGGAGCAGCAGCCAGAGCAGCCCGGGGGCTTGGCCGAGCAAGGGAAGAAGCCGGGCTCTGTCACCTTGAGGGTGTGCCCTCAGTACGAAACGGGACTCTCCAAAGACACCAGTGTTAAGGTACCCGAGCCTGTCACGGGTGGCAGAGCGGCTCTGCCGTACCCGGAGGGACAGGGCTGGCAGCATGGGGACAGAGCCAGCAGGGTCCTGTGCCCCACACCTGGCACTGCCCTCCCCGTCCTTCACCATCCCAGGGGTGAGGTGCCCTGGAGACCCGCAGCATCCCTGCCCTGACTCCCTGATTCCCTGACTCCCTGTGTCCCTGTTTAGATGAGGCTCCTGGCAGCACAGGGTGTCTCTGCAGGAGCGATGGCTGCTGCTGCAGAAGGATGAGCCAGGGCCATACACGGCTGAATTTTGGGGACAAGGCAGTGGGGCTGAAGTTCAGCTCTTGGTCTGTGGTTCAGCAGGTGACAGTAGCTTGGTGCCACCCAGCGTGGGCAGGCAGAGCAAAGGACACTTTTTGGGGTTTTTTTGGGGGTTTTTTGGATTTTTTTTTTGTGTGTTCTTTGGGGGTTTATTTTGGTTTGGGGTTTTTTGGGTTTTTTTAGCTTTGTTTAAAATAAAGAGAGAAGAAAACCCGATTGTTCTAACAGGGGGGGGGAAAGCCAAAATAGTAGATAAGTGTATTAGCAAAAATCCAAATCTTCCTTGATATATCCGAGCTACTGATATAATAACTGAATCCATTGTTTAAGATGGTGTTCTTGCCACATCCTTGCCGTATCCTGATGTGATGATGTGTTCAAATACATCATACTTCCGGGCCAAAATTCGGCTGTCACCCCTGCCCGGGCCATGCTCCTCCTACAGCCTCCCCTTCCCAGGTGTGTGGTCTCTGCTCCAGCCTTCCTCATTAGGGGAGGGACAGCAGGAGCTTTTTGTCTCCAGCCTCTGGCAATTCCAGTGGCAGAACCCACTCCAGTTCCAGCTGGGGCAGCAGGCAGAGCGCCTTCCATGCTCCTTCAGACTGTGCTGGAGCTGCTGTGTGACCTGACTCCTTTCCATGAGGGCTTTGCTGCCAAGAGCTGACCCCACCAGCTCTGATCACTCACACCTGCTCCAGGTGGGGTCCCCCATAGAGGACCATCCCCCAGGACGCTCATCTTGGGCAGGTGCCCCTCTGGCTTTGTGGCCTCCTTTGGTCCCAGCCATGGAGATGCTTTCCCTGTTGAAGTTTCCTTTCCGAGACATTCCTGGTGCCCAGGACAGAGGATGAAGGAGCAGAAAATCATTAAATCATGACTGGTATGGGTTGAAAGCAACCCTAAAGGCATGGCAGAGGAAAAACAGTGCCAACAGACTGATTGGTTTATTGCTGGGGAGGGTTGATAGCCAGTGTCTCTGCACCCAGCTGGGACATCCTAGCAGAGACAACTCTGCCTCACTGGATTATTTTCCATTTGAGGAATGCCCATAGATTTTTATGGAACTGCAGCACAGCCCTCAGGTTCTTGGCGGGCTGCCCATGTGGCTTTTGAAGTTGCAAAGCTTTGGACACGCCTGCTTGGAAGCGTTTTATGATGTTCTCCTGGAAGGAAGGCGAGTTCAAAGGCAGCTCCTGGGCTGGTGGGAATGGCTGAGCCCGGCCACGGCTGCTCAGGGCTGGCAGTGCTCACGTGGGCCAGGGTTGGGACCACCCTGCCAGGGCAGCACTCCTGGAGCTGTGCAAGCCCTCCCAGATGTGCCAAAGGAAACGTTGCTTTGCCTGGGTGAGGATGGATGCCCTGCCTCGGGGCCTTTGAAGCCAAGCAGTGGTTCCTGGTGTTAGCAGCCAGGGCCCTGATGAGCTCATTTTCGTGACAGGATTTGGGATTCACAGGGCTGTCCCCTGGCAAGCAGAGGGCAAGGGTAGCTGTTGGTGGGAGAACCCCAAGCTTGTGCACGGGATGAAATTTATTGCCATGTTCCAAAGAGGTTTCAGTTGTAGTTTGGCAGAGTTGTTGTGATCCAGCTGGTCTGAGAGTCTGGACCCTGATCACAAGAGGGATTTCACACAGATCCCTCCATGGTCTCAGGAGCACGACAGGGACTGTCCCTCTCCACCTCCAGGTGATGAGATAGTGGGGCAGCCTCAGCAGAGCTGTAGGTGACACATGCAAGGGTTGAGTGGCAAGGGCTTGGAAACAGGAGTAGAGGCAGGAGAGTAGTCCATAAGTTTGGGCCCTGGCACGCAGGGGCACCCCTTGGGCATTCCCTCGGCGTGCTGTGCCCATGGCTCTGTGCCAGGCTGCTGCCACGGGCAGCACTGCTCACGGGCACCGCTGGGCAGCTGTTCCTCCACCCTCACCATTCCTGCACGCCATCCGCTGCCTCCGGCCCCTGCTCCTCCTCATTCCTCCCCCTTACCATCCGTCTCTCCCACTCTCCATCTGTGCCCTCTCTCTCTCCACAGCTGCACATCACCAGCCAGACGCCTGCCAGCGAGGTGGTGAAGCTGGTGGTGCTGGAGATGAACGGCCTCGCGCGGGACGTGCTGGGCGCCGCCGCCGCCGTCTGCTACGGCGAGGAGCAGCTGGAGCACTTCGGGCTGGTGTTCGCTGCCAGCGAGGGCGAGCGGTGGCTCCCCGATGACTTCTTGCCCCTGTCCCTCCACACGAGCCAGCCCGAGGGGCGGTTCCTGGTGCGCATCAAGGAGACGTCCCCGCTGGTGCTCCAGTACGGGCCGGCGACCACCGTATGAGAGAGGAGAGCGGCGGGACGGAGCGGAGACCTCGGCTTCCAGAGCAGACAGCTCGTCTCTGATGCTTCCTTCTTCCACAGACACCCTCTCATCAGGCGTCCGCGGGGTGGAATGGGATCATACTGGGTTGTGTGTTCTTTGTTTGTGCTATTTTTTAATTTTTTTTTTTTTTTTTTTAACCAAAGAGACATCGAGACTCAGTTTTTCTGACTGGAGAAGAAGAGGGTGGAGTCCAGAGACCTCAGAGCTCAGGAGGAATCTCTGCAGGAATGGAATTTTTGAAAGTAAACATTTTTAAGGAGAAACGGGGGGAGGGGGGAGAGAGAGAGGAAAAATATTACAAGAAGAAGCAGCAATACTTTTTTTTCCCCCTTTTTTTTCTGAAAAACCTTGTTTGGGATTCACTGAAGGCAAAGCCACAGAGGATTGCTGGGGAGAGCTGTGGTGTCAGTGAGGAGAGGGCAGGAGCCACAAGGACAGCCCTGGGAAGGACATTTTCCTATCTACCCTCCTTTCACTGCACCTGGAGAAATGATTCTTGCACAAAGTTCTTGGAACAAAATTATATTCGTATTTTTATTCTGAAAAAAGTCAATAATCGTTGTGCCAGAGCCACTGGAGCTGGGTAAAGGTGAATACCCTTTGCCTTGTGTCCAAGACTAAAGGAACACATGCAGCCAGCCCCTGCACTCACAGACGTGTCAATACCACACTAGAGATTTGCTGTAGAGCATCTCCTGCAACCCCCTGGGCTTCCCTGTCCCCCTGGGTGCCGTTCTGTTCTGGTGATTGTGCTTCTCTAGTCCGTCCTACAGCATGACATTTTGTTAGCCACTAGGTCTCCTGTTAACAAGATTACTTTTCTGATCTCCTGTGGTCCATAGTAAAGAAGACTGCTGCTGACTGCCTAGCACTTGTCCTTCTTGTGGCTGGGTCCATCTCCCAAAGCAGCTCTGATTCCAAGGGCTTGGCTCCTCTTTCCCAGGAGTGTTTAGTGGGGTGCTTCCCACGCTGTGCAGCGTTACATTAACACACAAATCACAGTGTGGGAGAAAAGTACTAGTCAAAAATGCTCTTCTGGGATTCGTTGCTCTGTAGGGCAGCAAGCTAAGGTTGGGCGTGCCAAGGCATCACCTCCACGGGCTGGTGAAACCCCAGAGCTGTAGGGCTGGATGCCCAAGTCAGGTCCTGCAGCCTCCACTGAGGGAAGAACAGGAGCAGGGATGGCAGTGAGAGCTCACAGCTGTGTCACAGCTGGCACAAACACTGTGAGCCAGGTGCCAGGCTGGCACTCCTTGGCAAGGCGAGGCTTTGATGCTGATGCTCCTGCAGCAGCCACCTCACTGTGCTTCCCCTGGCACGGAGGGACCAGGGCTGGGCAGCAGCCCCCATCACTGGGTGCCAGGGTGCAGCAGGGGCTCTGTGGCAGCCATGAGCGTTGGCTGTCACTCCACAGAGGTTCCTCATTCCTCGCCCTGCGGCCCCCAGGGTGGCACGGGCAGGAACAATCCCAGCACGAGCCCTTCCTGCCCCACGTCAGAGGCGCTGTGGAGGGGAGGATGCTGTGCCAGCCCCTCAGCTGGTGCCAATCAACCAGCGCCACACTGACGTCAGCGCAGGCACCGCCACGGGACGTGGAGGCGAGCGACAAAGCAACTTCTTAAAAGGCACTTCTCCCATCTCCTCTCTCCTTTGCTTGTCCTCTGCCTCCCAGGTCAGGGAAGAAGTGGATTGGTGAGTGCAGAGGTTCCCATGGTGTTTGTCATTATTGGGCATCCACAGGCAGTGACATCCCAAAGAGGCAGGAGCTGCAGGGTGGCCCTTCCCTTTACATGTGTCACCTACTGATGCTCAGAGCCCGAGGCAAGGCAGAGGAAAGGCACAGCTGGTGGAAAGCCAAGTGCCTTTTTGAAAGTCACAGAGTGAATTCAGTGTTAGATCAGGGCTATGTACAGAAAGCTACATCTGTGTCCCTGATGCTCCTCAGCGTGGAGCCGTGCAACTGCTGATGCCCTTTTATTTGACCCCAGAAGGGAAAAAGTCCTCTCTTTTCCTTAAGAATTTGTTCTCCCTTCCTGGAAGTCCAGTTCCATCAAGAGAGACGGAGCCATGGCCCAAAGCCAGGTGCTGCTCCTGGGACAATGTCTGCAGCTGGATCTGCTCCCAGCCCCTCTGCAGAGCTCTGCCTGTGCAAGGCTCTGCAGAGCTTTTCTGCAGGAGCTGCTCTGGCCACGCAGCAGCTTGGACCACTTGGCTGCAGGGCACAGTGTGGGACCTCCTCCCCTTGCTGGGGAGAGGAAGAGAGAAGGAGCTGGGGCCTGGTAGGAGCAGAGTTGGTGCAGAGTGGGAAGAGCAGGAGTTGTGCAGCTTTTTTTGTGGGAAGCCCCACAACCAGGGACATGGGATGTGTGATGTCCTGATGTGACACACTCCTCACAGAATGACACAAGATTTGGGGTTGGGAGAGACCTCTGGAGATCATGCAGTCCAAACCCCTGCCCAGGCAGGGTCACTTGGAACAGGTGACACAGGAATGTGTCCAGGTGGGTTTCGAATGTCTTGAGAGAGGGAAAACTCCACACCCTCCCTGAGCAGCTGTTCCAGTGCTCTGCCACCCTCCTTGGAAAGACCTTCTTCCTCATGTTGAGGTGGAACTTCATGTGTTTTTATTTATGGTCATTATTCCTTCTCCTGTTGCTGAGCTCCATAAAATGACTCTGGCACCATCTTCTTGGCACCTGCCTTGGAGATGTTTTTATGGATTGATGGGATCCCCTCTCAGGCTTCTCTTCTCCAGACTCACCAGGCCCAGCCCCCTCAGTCTCTCCTCATAAGGAGGTGCTCCAGACCCTTCATCATCTTTGTGTCCCCTACTGTACAGCATTCCTTGAAGAATGGCACTTGCAAGGTGCTTCTCTCTTTTCCTATTTTCCTTCTCTCCCTCGATGGTTTCATTGTCACATACCAATGTTTTCTTTCTGAGCAGGTCATTGAGCCTTCAGACACTCTCCTGCCCTTCCCCACAGTCAAGGACAAGGCAGCAGGCTCTGCCTGTGGCAGTTTTTAAGGCTGCCATCGTGGTGCTGGGGCTTTGGGAGCCGTGGTGGCTCTTTGAGGTGGTGTGACAAGGTGTTGGCTGAGGGGCACTAAGCCCTGGCAGCACCAGCATTCAGAGCCAGCCCTGTGGGTCTCCTTGCACTGGTGCAGAGGGTTGGTGAAGGGGTTTTCTCCACGGGGACCTGGCACTCGCTCTGGCACTCATGTGCACCATGGCACAGGCTGGGGAGGAGAATCCCCAAAGCACCCGAGCTCAGCCCTGCTGCCTCCTGCCATGGAAGCTTTGGAGCATCTCTTTTCAAAGCAGGAGAGCATCCTGGAGGGCTAGGACACTGTGCCTGCACAGAGCTGTGTCACCTGGCACAGACACCACTGTCCCTGCAGTCCCTGTGTCCCCAGCCCTGCCAGACATGGGCACTGCCACTATCCAGCACAGACACACCTGTACCTTTGTGCCATATCCCCAGGTGAGCACCTTCAGTGCTGGCTAACCCCTCTGCACTGCTATCATGGAATCAGGGACTCATCCAGACTGGAAAATTGCTCTAAGATCGTGAGTCCAACCATTAAATCCAGCACTGCCAAAGCTGCCACTAAGCCATGCTCCCATGTGCCACATCCACATGGCTTTTAAATCTCTCCAAGGGTGGTGACTCCACTACTCCCCTGGGCAGCCTGTGCCAGTGCCTGACCACTCTTTCCATGAGGAAGATTTTCCAATATCCAATATTGCTGCAACTTGAGGCCTCCTCTTGTCTCCTCCTGTCCCTGTTCCCTGGCACCAGAGCCCAATCCCCCGGCTGTCCCCTCCTGTCAGGAGCTGTGCAGAGCCACAAGGTCCCCCCTGAGCCTCCTTTTCTCCAGGCTGAGCCCCTTCCCAGCTCCCTCAGCCCCTCCTGGTGCTGCAGCCCCTTCCCAGCTCTGTTCCCTTCCCTGGACACGCTCCAGCCCCTCAGTGTCTTTCCTGTCATGTCAGGACTGACCCCAGGACTGGGCTGTGGTGCCACCAGTGCCCAGCACAGAGGTTCTGTCCCTGCCTGGGTCCCACTGGATGCACTGACACCACCCCAACACCTGCACACACCATCCCTGGGCTTGGTACCAGCTGTCCCAGGACAATCCCACATCCTGGAGATGTGTGTCCTGAAAACTCCCATCCAGGCTGGGGTGGCTGTGAGCAGGGCTCCTCTGGGGGTCTGAGGGCACCAGTGCACCCCACAGGGGGATGCATTTCCCACTTCCCTTGGAGGCAGCTGACATTTTACTCTTCCATGTGCTGTGGAGCACCAAGAGATGATGCTGCAGAATAATTTGTACTTTTGGAGGGTTTTTTGTCTCTTTGTCATTGTCATTCCATCACTAACACCAAAAAAAGGCAGATCCATGTATTTTGATGGGTTTTGCTCCTGGGTACAGTGAAACAAAATATGAACCTGTCTGAGTGGACAAACAGCTCTTCTCCCTTCACTTGGAGGTAGGCCCAGGTCCAGAATCACAGCAGGGGAAATCCAGAGTACCTCCCTGCAGTTTAATGGGAATGTGTTCATTTCCATTGCCAGAGGAGCCGTGCCTCAGTGAGATTCTGCTCACATCCTATGAATTCATAGAAATAAACCCAAACTGTGACACTGAATTTTCTACCCAAAACCAGGAGCTTGTTGGCATCAGTTCTGAAGTATCTGATTTGCTTTCCTCCTGTCCAAAGGGAGTTGCTCAGTTTATCAGACATGAATCCAGGTTTGTGCTTCCCAAACTTTGCTCTCTGAGTCTGAGACATGGGACTATTTTGTTTGGTTTTTTTTTTTTTTTTTTGTTTGGTTTTTGGGGGGGGGGGGTTGTTTGCTTTTGTTTGTTTTGGGGGTTTTTGTTTGTTTGTTTTTGGGGGGTTTTTGGGTTTTTTGTTTGTTTGTTTTTGGGGTTTTTTGTTTTGTTTTTGGTTTTTGTTTTTGGTTTTGTTTTGTTTTTTGGTTTTTTTGGGTTTTTTTTTCCTGGGACACTTCTTCTCTCCTCAGTTCTGGTTGCAGGGGATGGCTGAGGAGCTGCTGCAATGGCCACAGAGATGAGATGCTCTGAGCCTGCCCCGCTGCAGGCACTGAAAGCCTTTCCATCCCCTCAAACAGGAGGTGAGAACACGAGCAGGACCCATCCCAGCCACCCAGAGCAGCGTGGAGGTCCCAGGGCTGTCCCAGCACATGCAGTTACTCAGCTGATCAGTTCTCTATCTGCAGGAACTCTGTTCCCCCTGTGCAGTGTCAGGGGCTGTTCACCCTGGGGCTCATGAATGGCGTTGCTGTGTGATCGCAAGGGGGTGTGATGGGTTCATGCTGGGGAATCAAGGGGCTGCAGGCTGCCCACACTTTCCATCCCCTGCCCAGGTGCCCACAGAAGATGCAGCTCTGCTGAGCAAAACCCCTTTGGCCTGAGCTCATGCCCAGGAGCCTTTGCTGAGCATCCCAGTCCTCCCTGGGAAACCACACTGGTCTGCTCTGGGCGCTGTGGGCAAAGCCACTTCCCATGTGGAACCGGGCTGGGCAGCACAGATCTCAGGGCAAGGCTGCAATTTCCCAACCACAAAGACACTTGGTCTGGAGGAGATGAGAGTTGGAGTAACACAAGCACCATCGGAAAGCTCCGGATGACTTTGGTGTGTCTAGGATTTTTTGGCTTGAGGTTCTCCAAACCCATGTACTGACCAGGCAGGAAACAGCTCTTTCCATCCCAAGAAAATTCCTGGGACACAGGGAAGTCCTCTTCTAAAATATGAAAACAGGAACTGAGAATACAAAGATACAAATTCATGGGGAAGCAGTAGTGCATTATTTTATTTTATTTCAACTTAAAAAGGA